AAAGCCAAACCTTTTCACAAATTAAACAGCGAACTTTAACAGATTGCTTAGTAATCAGCAAATTGCTAGAGTTTGCAATTTATTCAAGCAATATAAAAAAATGTTCCTAGATTACGTAAAGGGAGCTACATTACACCAAATGCCTTTCCACCACACTTCCCAGCCAATACAGCAGACCAGTACTTGAAAAGATTGAGTGACCTGACTAGGGCAGAAAACACCAACTTTCTCCTTTCTTACTTTGGCATCAATTGCCAGACACCACAAGGGATGTATGTATTCTTATTCTAGGAGAAACTGATGCAATGATCAGGTAGTGGGTCACTGGAAACAGGAATCCCAAATTTAAAGTAGATCAGGGCTTTACAAATAGGCAAATGATAAAAGGTAAGCAAGTCATTTGGGTATCTCACAATAGAGAGCTCAGGAACTCATCACCTGCTGCTGCAGACTGGGTTTGCAAAGAGAAATTGTTTTTGCTACTTACAAAAAAATAATGTGCAGAAGCTTCACAGAACTCAAACTGTTGTCCTTCTCATTTACACTGGCTGGTGTATCACAATTCTTACATTTCTATTATATAGAAGCAAAGTAGCCAAGGGGCGGGGCAATTCAAGATGACAATTAAGAGTCGCAGTCAGTAGTTTTTGTACAATGATGACAATCATTTACCTACATAACAATTAACTATTCCCTCGTACTTTGTTACACACCCCAATCCCATGGAAAAGATGAGACAAGACACCAAAAACGTGATATGATTAGTGTGGATGTAGATGTTACACCAACTGATTCACAAAACAGAGCTAGAGGAACAGATGAGGAATTAGCTACACAACAAACAGGTTGCAGAGCTAACATCCCCTCATTCACTTGATCCCACATTTCCCATTCTTATTTTGAAATTGCTACATTTCCGAATGAAAAATTCAGATTTCTAAAGACAGGACGAGGCTCCAATGGAGGGAAATCCAAAAGCAAAAAGCAGGAAGGATTGCTTTACAAATTTGGAGTTTTGTAAGACTTGTAGAGATGTTCAATTAAATCTTTAGGACTTCTGTCAGAAATAAGTCTACATGAAATTCCCCAGGGAATTAAACAAAGAAGCAAGGGCGGAACAAAAAACATGGACCTTACCACATTTCAAGCTTCAGTCAAGGTAAGCTATAATTAGCACTGCATACTGATTGAAAAGATGATTCACATCTTTCACTCCAATTTGTACAAAAAGGTGCTCACGAAGTAAAACTGTATGAACAAAACATACAGAGATAACAAGGTGTACAGCTGGATGAACACAGCAGGCCAAGCAGCATCAGATGAGCAGGAAAGCTGACGTTTCGGGCCTAGACCTTTTTTCAGAAATGGGGGAGGGGAAGGGGATTCTTAAATAAATAGGGAGAGAGGGGGAGGCAGACAGAAGATGGATAGAGGAGAAGATAGGTGGAGGAGACAGACAGGTCAAAGAGGCGGGGATGGAGCCAGGAAAGGTGAGTGTAGGTGGGGAGTTAGGGAGGGGACAGGTCAAGGGGGCGGGATGAGG